GCAGAACATACAGTTCCACAGAAGCGTTGCTACTCTCAGGGGCCCTGCCTTGTCTGTCTGCTGCAAAGCTGCCAGCTCTGTGCTGGTTTGTGGCACGCCCCTGAGTAGCTAACAGGACCCCCACTTGGGATGGGTCAGCAGGGAGCAGGAATTCACAAGGGGAGCCCAGCCATCTCTGTTCCTCTGCATTGCTTGGGCTCTTTAGCCCTATCCGAGTTCTGAGTCCCACTGAGAAATACCGCTTTCTGCCATTGCCACCCCCAGAATTTACCGTCCAGCCCAGCATCTGAAACTGGGAAGGGGATCCTCAGAAAACTTTTTTCAGTGAGAAGATGAAGCTGTTACCCCCACCTTCCACCCACATGACAGGGTAGGGGAACAGGGACCATCTCAGGACAGTCCAAGGCCAAGAACAAGTGGCAGACTTACCTGGACTTGTGAGGCCAAGGGCAGCAGGCTGCCCACTGGACCCCCGCCCTTCCCATGGCCTGAATCACCTCTCAGTAACAAGCTCCGAGCGGGCAAGTGGAAGGGTGAAATTGTTTGAACTCCAGTTCCCCAGACACACCAAAAGCTGACACCTGGATATTCTCCCAGAACAGGCCTGTCACTCAGCTGTCAGCCTAGGCCGAGTGAGGCAGGGAGAGGAATCCACCTCTTAGCAGGAAGAAACCTCAGAGGTCATCTTGTCCAACCTCCCCCTCCCCCAAGCTGCAGCTGGAGGGAGGAGGTGCTGGCACCCTTTTCCAGCTCCCTCTTCATCTGTCTCCCTTTGTCTTTCTCCCTCCTTCAGTGGACCTGTGCCCCTGTTCACCATGAAGGGCCCCAGGCCAGCACCTTCCTTCCCTGGGACCTCAGCCCGCAAGAAGAGGCGCGTTGTGAGGTGAGGTTGGGAGGTTTAGGGGGAGAAAAGCTTTCACCAGGGCAGTGGACACCTGGGCCAACTACAGGCTTCTGTGTGTCTCTGTACCCTTTGGAGCCAGTAGTAGGGGTCTTATGAGCAGGGTCAGCGTCTGGTTCTCTGACCGAGGGCCCCTTGGCTCTTGCTGTTATAGGATTACACTAGAAGTGAAGGGTATCTTCTTTTGGTTAAAGGCTACAGGCTCCCTCTCCACAGGGCAGACACTCAGTGTTCACCAATTAATCCAGGGAATGGGCTACCTACCTCCTCACCTCTACTTTCCTCCCAAACCCCACTAAGCTCCCTTTCCCCTCCACCCCCACCCTGCCTCTCCCACCCTCAGATCTGGCCTTGGAGGCTTTTCTTGAGGCCCAGGCTTCCCCTGCTCTCAAGGCTTGATGTCTAGCTCCACCTACCCCCACCTGTAGTCCAAGGGCACGGCTGTGACCTTCCTTCCTTCCCTCAGTTCCTCAGTTTCCCGCCGTCGTCGCCTTGCCCGTCCCCAGCAG